AAAAAAGATAAATATAAAAAATAAAAAGTCAATTTATTTTAAATTATAAGAACTAAATAATAAAATAAGTAAAACTATAGGAAAATAAATGTTTTAACATTTTTCTTATATATTTTTTTTTGTTTTCTGTTTCTGTTCTTATCTTTGTTCTTATTGTTATTGTCTGTGACTCCGGTATACTTATTATTCCAAGTGCATGAATCCACATTCGCCTCTACGTAAATTTTGAAAAGTTTAACCAAATATTGGAAGGCAAACCTTCATTGCTTATGAAATGATACGGATTTGTAAACGTCGTAGGTATTGAAAAGTTTTTCTGTGTAAATATATTTTCTATTTACATATTCTTGAATTGTTTTGAAAAATATATAACTATAAATACTTTATATGAAATTAATACTTATATATTTATTGCATAAATTTTAACCTTTATATAGCTGACTCAGTCTATTATATATCTACGTCTGACGCCCTCCCTTTCAACAAATCCATTTTCTGTAACAGTTGAGTCAAAGTGTGGTTTTGCCAAAATCTCATCAGCGTGAATGACAGGTACCTAGCACTGTCGGTTCCCAGTCGCTGTAACCCTGTGCTACATACGCCTTTATTATCGCAATTGTTATGTTTTCTATGATACGAATTCAATATTCCTTGAATCCTTGTCACTATAAAAATTCTCCAGACATATCTACTTATAGTGGTGAATTTATTTTTTTTAAGTTGGTTGATTTTTAGTTCAATAACTAAAATTTTAAATTAAATTAGATACTATTCAATTTTGATTAATCATTAATAAGTGAATAGGAAAACTTATCTAATGATTCTTAATATTTCATAATTTTCTGATTGATAATCTTGAAAGTATCATTCTTTATCTATTATTTTTATTAATAAAAAAAATTACGCCTTTATCACTCACCCAAAATTTCCATTTAATTTTTTATTTGGAGCTTAAACATTTTTAAGATTGAAATAATGATCGACAATTTGTCGGACCATGTCCATTTCAATCAAGTTTCGTACCGGACACAAACCTTATAATGAAAAAGAGTACGTGTGTATGTGAAACTATTGGTACAGGATCAAATGGTAAAGTGAGATATAAGCCTTTTTCTTTATATATAGAAGACTTTAGTGGGAAAGAAACAAGTGCCCCTTTATTTATGTAATTAAGCTCCCGGACAATTAATACTGTTAAACTAATGTAGCTTAAGGTGATCCATTTAATATTTTAGTTAAAGTTTATATGTGAGATAGAATCATATAATATTTGCGGATACAAAAATTGTATAGGTATAGTGTTGTTTTTCCAGAACTAGTTGCTCTATCTCTCAAAGTCATTCACATGTCACATGCAAGCTTGGTGCAGTGTAGCTGAGTCTCCATGGACCACTGTGTAGCTGAGAATATATCAAGCAGAGGGAAAAACAGCTTGCTGGTATGTCCCGCGCTACGACCTATATTCCCTTCTATTCGTTGCACAAACCCTACCCCGTGACCATCATATCAAACCCTAGCTACTTGAGTTGAGACTTCTCTTGCTCAAAAAACCTACCAATTTTCAACTACACAGGACTTATATGTAAAGACACAGCAAACACGCTATGAATAACAATTCTCCGACATGCAGTGTCCGGATCGACATGAAATGGCCCGTGAATCATGTACCCTTAGTTCTGACGTTAATTAATGTGGGTAATTAATTAAACATTTGCGGTGAAATCTACAACAACTTAACCTTTGGCCTTTTTCTTTGCTGGGGTTAAATCTAAAAAACCTTAATTGACGTCAATAGTGATTGATTTATCATGTTGATTTGTTTGTTTATCACTACTATATGTTATACCTAGCGCAATCTTAGGGCATATAATAGCAGTTTCTGTCATTGCCGAATAATTAACTGTCCGATATATACATCAATTTTCTCGAGTACATTTAAATTTGGCATGACGCAAGTCAATTTCATGTGGACAATGGTAGGTCGAGTCCTATCAAATAATTGTTGACCCCAACTCAAAGACAGCAAAGCAGACATTCAAACACTTTATTACCCAAAAATCACATTATGTGGTTTCTAAACAAGACTGTTTTCTGTGCATTTTTATCGAAGATAAACAGTTTAAATAAAGGTTATAGAGATCTCTCGTTATTGCTGTTTTTTCCTTCTTCTTTTTTCTTTTTTTTAATGTTACTGGTTATTTTTGTTGTTTAGTAACCTAAAAAAAATATCATAGTCATGATTTTGATTATCTTTAAAAAAACCAAATTTAAAAAAATCTGAAAAAGTTTCAATAATAAGTTAATTTGAATATAAGATATATACATTAATCCAAATATACTCTTACAACCACTTGTAGAAAATACATAATGTCTTTTCACTTTGCTAGTGACGACTATCATGTTGAAATTGTGAAAAATGGAAAATATTTTACCCATTTTAAAATAATCTTCATTTGAAAATTTAAATAAAAGTAAGAAATTAGTATTAGATATCTTTAATTTAAAGAGATAAAGTTATATTTGATTAAATTACGTTTTCAGCCCTAATAAATAGTGGCTCACTAGTGCCCACAAAATATGAAGTCTCGTGTTGTGTGCGCATCCATAAATCAGGGTATAAAACGTCGCTGGCATGAAACTATATTTTTCGGAGCACAGGATTTGAGCACCCAAAAAAGAAAGGAATATACAATTGTGTGACTAAGCATTTGACTAGACAGTGTGTCGTCTAGCCATGAAAAGGTTCCTATTTATCAGCGCAATCAGAAACTAAATCCTTGCCCTAGCTAGTGCGAGAAGAATGAATAATTGTTTTATAAGTATAAAAAGATTTCCTAGCATAGGATCGTTTGATATGCTATTAATTATTTGCCAAACAATTCACACACCATATCACCATCTTGTTTATTGCATGTTTGAATCTTCAATAGCAAATACAATTGTAAAATAAACCCACCATAAATTAATGAACCAGTTGAGTCTAGCTCAAGAAATAATTAAGGATGCAGCGCGATTTGAGTTGACATCAGTTTGATCTCTTGTAATTATTTTAAAAACAAAACCTTACCATATGAAATACGTAAAACTTAAATAGTACAGACTTGGTTCAAAGCAGTCTTGTCTCGCATGTTGTTAACACATCTAATAATTGTCAGTATATATATCAAGTAAAACTTCTTATAAATAGCTCATTATTCATAGTTCTTTACCGGATATGTCATCGTATATTCAACATCATTCTGACTTAGCTTAAATGTTTACAATGGAACTGATTAAGTTTGTGAAGAGGTCAAAGTTCTTAGCTAGGTCATAACAACTACTAGTTGTCGCAACACACACAAAGATAATAATAACATGACATTTTCACTCAGAAGTTGAAAAGGCATGATCAACATTCTTGTTATTTCTTATCAAAGAATTGAGAAGACCTATGGAAACAATCATGATCCAATAACATTCCTAGCTAGAGCATAATTATAGTTGCATGTTCTCTTAAATTTCTATTAACATCTAGCATAAAGTTAATTTTATTAATTTTCGACAAAATACTTATTTCTCTCTTTACTAATAATGATTTTGTTATCAATATTCAACTCATTCTCATCTTACTGAGCTTGTGCATGTGTACATTGCCGTTTTCATATTATTAATTGTGTTTTGAGAATTGAGAGGCTATATTTTGATGCATAAAAAAAAAAGTACATGTTTTATGAAATACTTTCGACTCAAATATTCTTATTTTTTTCTCTCTCTCTCTTCTTTGAACGTGCTCACCACAAGTTAAGGTTACTTAACTCTTTGCTTTGACCCTTGTCTGTCCGCCTACTCAAAATTCACAAATTTTCTTTTTATTCGTAAGAATTGAAAAGAGAATTTTAAGATAGAATCTTTGGTATATTACACCAGAAAACTTACGATTTATAATCTTAATATTAATATAATGATAAAGATTATTCATGTGATTAATATATATACCTTAGCAGAAGAAAACAAAATATTAATTTCAATTCCTAGATATGGAAGAATCGATCAGAGCAATAGATAGGGAACGATGCACCTTTTGTGTTGCTACATGAACATGATCAACACGTATATAATAGGAACCCGGAAGAGATCATTTGGGGAATAATTGAAAGAAAAGGCATTGAAAGAGGTTGGTTATTATAAATACAAAAGAACAAAAATATAGATGAAGAAGAAAGAGACCGCTATGGTCTCAATCAGCTGAAGGTTGAGTAGCACATGTTATGGGTCAGTTATTACAAAACAAGGGAAATTTTCGTAAAGTTTTCTGGTTCTTCCTTATGAACTAAAACCAGCAGTAGTCTACGAAAGTATGATTAACCCTATCGTATCATATGTACCTTGACCTATATCATTGGTGGCAGTAGCCACTTGTATGCAATGTAAACACTCCTCACATGCACATACTTTGAGAAGCATTAAACATTATGTGCCAAAGAAGAATGCTTTTCCAACTCTAGCATAAGGAATAGACATCCATGGATGGTGGATGTCTATTCCAGTGGCCAATTTTATTGTGTTTCAGAGAAGTAGTTGGTGTAAATGCTGGTTGTAATACTCCATTTATACGTAATGAAATGGATCGATCGGGGGAGGAAAAAGGTATAATAGAAAAGAAAGTGAAGAAGCACTTCCTTCCGAGGGGTTTCACTTTTGGTTCTGCACCTCCCAGTTTCAAATTGCCAATGCATGGGAGACAAAGAAAAGACGCACCTGTTTCTTTCTCCCCAGAAATCGTGCTTTAAAAAATTCTATGCTTAACCAAACACGAAACCTATTTCATTCCTTCCATTTTCATCCGGCAAACCAACGGGTAAACGGGAAAAAAGTGTCTTGGAGTTCACCACCAACCACAAAGCCTCACTCAATAATATTAATCCACAAAAAAAATGACACAACATATTAATAATAACAATGCACACATCCAAATATATACTATATAGTATATAGATTAGAATATATGATTTGGTCTAGAATTGAGAATGAGAAGTGAGTATTTCGATAACAACAAAGCCACATGAAAATCTGAACTGAGATTCGGACAAAAATTAAAACAAAACAAAACAAGAATCCCAGCCCCACTTTAATTTCGTGAATCATCGATCGTCGACTCGACGTAATCATTTCTGAACTCTTAATAACTAGTCTAGCTAGTAATAGCAGCTACTTCAGCTGATGTTAAGAACTTAACAAGATGCACATATAATATCCAACAACAACCATAACCATAATAAGAGTCCATGAAAAACAAATACCCGGTTTCAACTTTCAATTATTATTAGATAGAGAAGATGAAGAGAGAGAGAATCGTCCTTAAGATCTCGGGGGTGGGAAGAATTGCGTACCAGCCATGAAAGCATTGAGCGGAGCCGTGTAGAGCGAAGGATCGAAAGGGTTTCCGCTTGTGGTGGCGGTGGCTGTGGCGGCTATGAGACTTAGCGGCTGAGGTTCGCCGCCGCCACCACCGGAGGAACCCTCGCAACCTGCACTATAAGGACCCTCCACTCCTTGATCGTAGAGAATTCCCTTGAACACGTGTCCTCCTATGTTCACCGCCGTTTGATACGCGTAACGCTCGTCCGCTGCGTCCATTGCACTCACCTTCACACACCGGAACACCGCCGGAGAGTTTAGCTCCGGTGGAAACTGCCCCAGCTCCAACCCTAACAAATCAAAATCACAAATTTCTCCTTTCAACAAAATAAAAACGAAAGAAGAACCATCTTCAACTCTAACGAATCACATGGAATTCAATTCCTTAGTTTAACTTATTAACAGTAACGGAATAAGGAAAATAAAAGAGAGACAAAAAAAGCAAGGTGATGGATGACCGTGGAGTATTCAGTATTGTATAGAATTTCATTTTCAGAGTGAACTGATATGGACTCGATGTTACATATCAGTCATAGAAGATTACACTTCTCTCCAGCAAGATCGTATACGTTAGAGTCTATTTGGATTCAAGTGAAAATTGTGGTAGAGAGTGTCTGATATCCAAACGTGCTCCTAATTCAAGCAATAATATCTCATCTCATGGACTCTTAAAGCTATATAGTTGAAAATTGTTTGCTAAGAAGGATTTTCATTTAAACTTTTTTTTTTTTTTTGAATTTTGTTTACCTGTGGTGGTGATAGGAACTGGGGCGCAAGCGAGAGAAGCAGCGCCTTCGATGTTGTCTCTGTGTCGTTTGGAGTGGTCTCCGCCGCGAAACTGCGGCGGTTGATTTTGTTGGTGCTGCAACGAGGCGAGTTGTTGCTGTCGTTCGCGGCGTTTGGCAGCGGGAACCCAAGTGCTCTTAACGTGCGTTTGGCACTGAAACCCTCGACTCTTGCAGCAGGTTCTGCATCTGAGGTGAGCGCAGTCTTTCTTGGCTTGGTTCCCGCAGTCCTGACAGTTCATGCCGCCACCCACGCCGCCGGACCTCATCACGGTGAACCCGAACCGGTTCGACTCATCCGAGAAAGAGACGGAAACGTCGTCGTTTACGTTGGAGGAGGTATCGTTGTTGTTGTTGGTGGTGCTGTTCCTGCGACTAGGTCCCACACCGAAGGAGTAGTAGTTGGTCAAGTTGTGGTGGTACGAGGATTGTGGCTGTGGCCATATCTCGAATCCCTTGTTGTAGATCTCCTCGTTTCTGAACAAAAATTGACTGTTACTGTTACCAGCGGCGTTCACGTTGTCTTCTCTTTGTTCCTCTTCTTCTTCCGCCTTGTTCTGCCTTCCTCCTAGAGAGAAGAACCCAGCCATGTGTTGCTGTTGCTGCACTCTACGATCCCCAATTCAGAGATAATATCCATATCAGAAGAAGAACCTTCGCGAATCTTGAAAACAGTTCTTCTCACCTTTATATATAAACACAACTGTGTCTTTAATTTAATTTCCTCGCTAATAATAATAATTATTATTATTTTTCACCCACTGGAACTTTTTTTTTTTTTTTTTTGTTGACTCTGGGTCTGTCACTGTGGAAAGGCCGTGTGGGGGCGTCTCAAGTATGATCTTCTGATCTGGTTGGGTTTTTTTTCGCAGCTTTTGAGGAAAACTGTTTCTTAAAACACACAAATAAAAAAAAAAAAAAAAAGGAAAAATAGGGTGATGTGTGTTGGTTAATTGAATTCCGTTGAAGCAATTATGGCACGGAATTAGAGCGTGGCTCTGCTACGCCGCCATGACAACTGCACCCATCCACTCTACTGTTGAAACCTCATTTATGAGTTGTTGTTGTGCGAGAATTAGAATTAGAATACAGACTGGCTTTGTTTGTTGCTGTGACTCACTCTCACACACACACACACTCTCAGACTCAAACTCAGAGTGTTTCAATGTTTGTTTCGTGGGACGGTGTTTTGTTTCGTGTGTGTGCGTGGGGGAACAGCAAAATCTGTCTGTCACTGCCAAATCCTTTGACCATCCGACGGAGGAGGAAGCTCCACGTGTCGCGTCACTGGCTTTTGCTTATTCGTCCTTGCACCGGAAAACCCGCTAGTACTTTCTCTGACGCTCACCATAATTAACATTGTTTTCTTCCGATTTTTATGTTGTGAAGGCACATATCTACCCCGGAGTGGAAACCCAATACGCTGCGTCACGCACATGCACTTGCGTCCTTCGCACGTCCCCATCACCGCTCAAATCGTCCTCCACTTCTCCATCAAACGGCTCTCCGATATCAAATCAAATGCACACATACACACACTCTTTTTTAACCTTTCTCAATCGTGAATTTAATCACGTAAAGTAATATTCACTTGCAAATTTCTTGCTCATAAAGTTGTTGTAAACTTGTAATCGAATCACGTAACGAAAGCCTTTTGCCCCTGCATCAATTTTTTTATATTATATATATATATATATATATATATATATATATAATATCATTATATTATTGCAGCAAAGTGTTTACAATTTTTGTCGATATTTATATCGAAGAATTTGCTGAGACCTTGCTAAAACATAATTGATTATATTGAAATATGATGCTGTGTCTTCGTTTCAAGTTTATATTTTTAATCCGTAAAAGTTATATTCAATACTCCACAGTTATATTATGTAATCAATACTTTCTTTTGATATCTAACAAAAATAATGAAGAGTAGTATTTCCATGAATTGATATGATTATTGCTCATATGTATCTTCAAGTGTATCAAAACATGTCTATAATTAGTTACAAACACAACTTAATTAATTCTGCAACACTCTCTTGTCTCATTTCAAATTATTTGACATATACAATAATGTATATATTTTATAGTAAAAGCTTCTATATTATTAAGTTTGTTATAATTTTTAAAATAATTATTATAAAATAACAAATGACGGAAAATTTTTTTTTCAAATTGTTAGTGTGTATATTAATTATTCTGTATTTTAAAAATATTAGTTAATTACATTAATTAATATGACAACATGATATTCATTGATTAAGGTATCCATACTAAAATGGTAAAGACTACTCGTGAACTAGTTACGTATTTAAGTAAGACATCAATTAATAAAGATATTTTTCGAAATAAACAATTAAAACTTTTTATTATTTAAAATTATAATTATTTTAAAACAAAGAGAAATTCTTAAAGTGATACGTAAATTAACAATATTTTCGTATATGTTATTTTAATTTAAATAGACTTTATAATAAAATAAATTAAGGGGAACAATAAATTTTATTATTAATAATATTGAATTATTCTTATATTAAATGAGAATAAATTTATGAGAAAGTATTTTTAAATTAATCCTTAGTATGGACATGAAGTCATCATGAAAAGTATCATTTTATTTTTATAAAGTCTAATTAATTTACTGAAAATGAGTTATATATTTTTATTAAATAAAAAATAAAAATAATAAATTACTCCCGGTAATTTTATAGTACTTTTTTGATTTGAGCTCAACATTTTATATTTCATTCGATAATTAATGGGATTGTAATAGTGGACACCGTGGCAATAAATAAAAAAGAAAGTTTGAGTTTACATGGAGGTTTTTATTCTATCCCTTTTTATATAATAGTATAACCCGCCAAATTAATTAGGTTTCAATTGATTATAGCTATTTTCAATTAGCTTAACATAAAATATTCATTAGTTCATTTTAATTTGTACGGGTAAGGCCTTTCAGCTATATCCATCGATCGGTTAGGCCACCTCTCTCGGCATTGGAAAGATCTATACGGGTAAGGCCTTTCGGCCACACCTTTCAGTTTGGCCACCTTACTTAGTATCGGGAATGTTGATACGGCTGAATGACGATACAACCCATCAAGACAAAGTATTAACAAAGACCAGAAAACACTGCACCAGTTCGATGTTGCTGAATGTCGAGGAAAATCATTTTACAAAGGTACTTGAGACCTGAAAGGACTGTTCTTGATCATCAACACCCATTGGCATGCTTGACCAAGATAAACAATCCTTAAGCAGTGATTAGAGGCTAATCACATATGTAAGAAGATTAAGGACGTATTACCTAATTCGACATACCTAGCACGGGACCCATAAAAGGCAGAACCCATTGATGTCATTATAAATAGTTCACATCTTGAGGTAACGTCACTATTCATTAATTATTGTCGATATTCGTACTTATCCTGACTTGAGCGTTGAAATGCCTTTTACAGATACCCTCTCTCACCAGAATACTCTATCGAAACTCTCATTCAATCTTCAAAATACGAGAAAATTATTTGTGTACCCTTCGTACAGGTACAAAATTTAATAACAATAAAATAATTATATACAAAGTATACAGTGCAATTTAAGGGGTAAAAAATGTTTGTCCTTAAGTGAAAAGTAAAACATAAAAAAGTGGATATGTGATGTCACTGCTCACCACACTAATTACTTGTGTACACTTTTTATCTGTCTAAAATTAATTAGCATAAAATAAAGAAATTTATCCTCGGGTGTAGTGAAATTTTACCTGCCTGGTGCCTGCGTGCATTTTGAGTTAACTCACTCCAACCTCGTTCTGTGCCTCGTATTCCACTCAAAATTCTTGGCGTAATCATTATATGATTGACGCTCAATTTCACATAAGCATTTTCAGTATCCTTAACTGCTTGATAATTGAATTGTTTGGGAGTATTAGAATTTGGAAATGCGTCCATGCCGCGCGGTGTCGTCTACGTGCTACCTCACAAACGGCCTCGCTAGTCGCTATCCAAAACTCTGTACTTAATAGTTTTTTAAATTTTAATAATGATGTCATTTTTAATTTAAATTATAAATATATTTTTATTTATACTTAAATTATATATCAAGTTATTTAAAATTATTTATAAATTTTAAAAAATTATTAAATTTAATTTAGAGATACAAATTATATTGTAAATTATTTCAACAAAACATACACATATTATTATATTAGTTACCCATTGACTTAGTTGAGATAAAAAAGTCAATGATCTAGCATCATAAATAATTATATATTTATTATAATTAGGTCAAATGCAATTATATAAGGATTTTTTTAAAATATCTTTATAGGATTCAAAATTTTAATATACTCAAATACAAATATATAATTTGTCTCGAATTGTATTGGATCTGGATTACTTTAGAGGAGGTCTTTAATACCATAGCACAAATAAAAAATATTAAATTGAAATAGATATAAAATTAAATGTGATAAACATACAAATATAAATAAAATATAATAATTTAAAATTAATGTTAAGGATTTTTTTGAATATTTATAGAGACAACATGTAGATTATTATACTTCCAAAGAAGAGAAGAGACTACATAAAATATCAATAATGACTAATTGAGAAGATAGAGAGAATAAAAGACTTCCAAATTATGTATTCTAATTTATAACATATTAATGAATTAATTATTTATAATTTAAAGTTTTTAAGTTATTAAATATTTTTATATTATTGAGCACATAAATCAATTGTTGTAGTGTTGTTTTAGTTTAATTAATAATTTTAAATTTGCATCTTAAGTATATTAAATTGCGTTTAATATTTAAATGAAGAGTTTTAAAACTCATGATAGTCTTATCATAATGGAACACAATTGCTTTAGATGGAGAATACATGTAGTCAATACTAAATTTTTTTATTTCTTTTAACATACAACTTAAAACCCCTATTAATATATAGAATGATTTAAACATTTTTTTTAATAATTATATTATTGATACGAAACATTCACAGTAAGAAAATTGTAAACACACATAAAATAAATATTTATCTTTTAATATAATTTATTTCATTCTTAAAATTATTATTCAAATTTTAGATAATTTAATTTAATTAAAGAATACATGTGACCGTCACTTATTTGAACTTTAGTTTGAATGATTTTAAGTTGAGGTTACTCATCAATCACCGTACTTGGAAGAGCTAAACTGTTTTAGTTAAACTCACACTTCAATTATAGGCCTTCCATTGTGGAATAAGCATCACGCAAAACACCTCGACCAATATGATTATTTTTTTCACGTTTGATGATTACCATATTGGACGGTGGGTATATTCCTCATTGACATTGTTGCTTCCATCACTTCCATAACTCCGGTAAATAAAATTCATGGTTTTCCAAATCCTATTATTCACATTTGTCTTTTAAAGCATCACCGATATATATATCATTATGAGAGTGATAGATACAAGAGTGTGACCTTGTTAACGCGTAGCGTAACACACGTTACTTGACGCGTTATGCGAAGACCTACCAACATTTTAAAGGAAAAAAAAAAAAAAAAAAAAAAAAAAAAAAAAAAGAAAGAAGAGTAAACTGTAACAGCCTTTTCAATGCTATGATACATTTTTAAACAGACTTTAATGTATAATTAAAATTTGTCATTTTATATGGGTTTGGGTTGACATACATGCATGTATATATAAATGCCAATAAAAAGATTGCTAAGCTCTGAGCTGCCATTAACTGCTTACTATCCTAAAACTGAGAGGATGTAATAAGAATCCATTGTAACAGCACAACAAGAAGTTCTGATCACTGCCTCCCAAACGAGGATATATTAATTTCTAGCTAGTACAAAGAAAAAAAAAATGAAAGTAATTTAATGTTATGGAACTATTTGTTAAGGTCTTTGTCATCAATATTCTTATTTAATTCAATTTTATAATTTTGATTAATCAACATGGAAAGAAGGAGAATTCTTGATAAAATTCATCGGGACATACATGAGTAACACTTCAGACATGATATCGACAATACATACTTTCAAATACAATAAATTATGGGCTCTAAAACAAGCTTCACATTGTTATTATGTCCTTTCATGTGGGGGAAATCTGGTAAATTCCGATTGACCTACACAGAGCCTCATTAATTGTTTGCTCAAAATTTCAAATAATATAGTCCAAGAGTTTAGCTGCCAAAATATTATTTCATGTGCATGAACATGCTGACATAGTTCATAAATAATTCTGTCATTTTAAATGTATTAAGAGGTTTGATTATATATTTAAATATTTTAATAAA